TGCAGTTTATATAAATTATGATGGTTGTTTCCAGAAAGGGGCTGTCTTAAAACCTAGGTAAAATATTTCTAGTGCTGTCAGATTTTTAAATTTGTATATATATATATGTGTGTGTCAGATTTTAAAAAGTTCCATTAACTGCTTAAAATTACTTTGTTTACATTTTGAGTATGAAAATAAAGTTACCAGATATAGACTTGAAAATGTGCAATTTTATTTTCAAATAGTGTAATTGAGTTATCATGGCTGGCTATTACCTAATGATAAGGCACATTTAGCTTAAAGATGATTTCCCTGATTACAAAAGGGAATATATGTTTGGTTCTTGTTGGGAGGCACATTTTCTTGAGTAGGACTTCTTGATCTCTTGGTCAGTAGACAAATTTCAGTTTAAAAAAAAAGAAATTGGGATATCTACTCAAATCTGACTATATATATATATATATAATGTGTGTGTGTATGGGGGGTAAAACATTCATAAAAACAAAAGGAAAACTTATCTTAGCCAACACATTTCATCCTCTGAGAGATTTTTTCAAAGCAAATGCAAGGATTTTACTTTGTAACAAGTATTTATATACAGAAGCAAAATGTTATTAGTTTTTCAAAATTTTAAAATTTAGGCCTTTGCCTGCCCTGTGCATCATATGATTTCCACATTCATGCATCATATGTGGTGCACACAGGCCATGATTTTAAAAGAGTGGTAAAACTAAGAACACTTTAGAAAAGGGGTCTACAATTGAGCAGGACATCTGTTTGCAGATTTATAACTGCTGCAAGGCAACTCAGTTTATTTGGCAAGGAGAATGTGCTGATATATAGTGTTTCACATAATAAAAACCTATGCATCACATGTGATGCACAGAGCATAGCGTAAATAACTTATGATTTGTACGTTTTTATTATATTAAACACTATATATCAGCCCATTCTATTTACCAAATAAGCAGAGTTGCCTTGCAATAGTTATAAATCTGAAAACAAGCATGAACGTTTGGATAGTACACATGAAAATGCCCTAGACAGGCAAAGGGTTAAGAACGCTCATAAAGTTTCATCAGGTTGGTCAAAAAGTCAGGCAAGCTATGTAGGACATGAAGTGACAAAACTTAGTGTCTAATGAATCAAAGTGAATAAGTGATGTTCTTGTAAATGATGTCATATAAATATAATATTGCACAGTGAGTGATGGTGTTAATAAAATAGTGCTTGATGTAGAAGAACAAAGCTATAATCTCCATATTAATAATCAGTACCTGAAGATTGCATTGTGCATGAAACTCAGTGTTGTGCTACTGGTGAGAAGAAAATGTATATTTATTATTAATATATATCAAAATAAAAAGAAAGAGCAATCAGATTAATAATATACAGTTCTTTAGCATTTATTTTTTTAAAAAGTGGTCAATACAAAGTAGAGCATAATATAAAAATATTATTTAAAATTATGTTTTCATCATGACACAGAAATTACTATGTTCAGGAACTAAAAATTAAAATTTTTATTTTAATTTTTAGTTCCAAAACAGTTATTTCTGTGTCATGAAAAAAAACATAATTTTAAATAATAATAATAATAATATTTTATATATATATATATATATATATATATATATATATATATATATATATATACTGAATTTTTTGTTTTGTTATTAAGAACAGTTTTCTGTAACAGTGGGGTACATGAAATATTATTTAAGGAGAGAAAAATTATGAAAAATATTCTATTGACTCAAAAATTCTTTTAAAATAGGATTAAAGGGTGGTAAATCTGAAAGATTGGTTTAAATTCATATTCACTCAGAAAAAAATGATAATTCTAAGTTGCTTTCCAGGTAGAATATATATCTGCCTTCTCTTTTGAGTCATTTTTTCAATGCATATATTATAGAGAAACATTTATGCATGCTGAATATAATTGATTAATCATTTTGTGAGTTAGTGTTGAAAAGAAACATGATTTTATAGACATTGCATGTAAAAAGAATGAATCAATGCTTAAGGCATACTTAAAGTAGATTGGACAATTTAACCAGTGAAAGTGTAGATAAGAAATGGATTCAGTACATTAAGAAAGATAATTAAATGAAATTAATGGAGAAAAAAGTTGTCTTTTCAACTGGTTAACATATTTTGTCTTTCTACATGCAACCACTTACAAACCAGAAACAGTGTATAATTCATGTTAAGGTATTTTTCTCCTTTCTTTGATTGCAACTAAATTGTATTTCACGTCATCAACTTGTACTCTTCTCAAAGAAGTATCTTTCGCTTTTAGCTGCATGCTGCCAACCTACTCATTAAAATTTGATTCAGATAGTGTGGATCTTCTCATTATGATGCTGGTTCTTTCATTATGCAAATTAGTGGTAAAATGACTGGCATCCATCCATCTAAAATTGGTCAAACTTCTTGCATTTTTATCCACAACAGAACAATCATTTGATATGATAATAAGATCAACATTATACACTAGTAGTAAAAATCACAGTATCATATTTATTTTGGGAAAATCACTGATTCATACAAAATCAAAATTAAGTCTTTTCAGATTAGAAAAGGTTTCAAGTTCTTTACAACTGTGATATGTAAAGACATCTCTAAGGTAGTTTTCCTTATAATGAAAATGTAAAAGTAAGTCTTAATAGGAAAATGAAAAATAGTGAGCTTAATCCTCAGTGGATTGTTCAGTTTTGTGGCTGTAAAGCTAAGCTCAGTAAAAAGTGGCTTGCCTGATGGATGAAATAGTTACATATTTCCCAATGGTCAAAGCTCAGATAAAATCCAAAATTTTCAATGTTAACCCATTAACTGCAGATGACAGAAATTTCTGTCAATGTGATTCAGTGGTTTAAGTGTAAATGATGGAAAGTTTTGCTGCATTAATGGGTTAATTTTAAAAGTGGATAGCCTATCCATACTTGGAATAGAGGTGGAACACAGTCTTCATACTTCCATTTTCCCTCCAATTTGATCTTGTGCCATATTAAACTGAGTTTAGTGAAAATGTTGAAAATAATTTTGGTGTGAATAATGAAAGTAATGAAATGGCTGGCTGCTCATATCTGAGCATTCCTGTCTGTTGGGCAACTAGCCAATCTCTATTACAGGTACCTGCTCAGGCACATTTGTGTTTGTTCAACACCCACAGAGCCCAACTGGCTGTTTATACTGCTACTGAGCAGACCTTAGTTACAGTTTCTGGGAGAGAGTAAAATATCTGGTGTAATCAAAAATCTGAACAAAACAAGTACACTCAAACCTTCAGTCATTATGACTTGAGACTTTGTGCTCTCTCAAATATTGATGTCTCCTAAATAGTTCCATTTACCCAATTTCACTCACTTATTTCAACCTGTGGTATGATTTTCAGCCATTTTTCAAAGGTGCCACATGCTGGGATCACTTCTGCAGGCTGATTGCATCAAGAAATCACCTTCCTCACAATTCAACCATAGTGCATTTTGAACCTTGGTCTCATGGTCCGAAAGTAAATGTTCTAACCATTTGGCCATGTGCCTAATAATGAAAGGTATTAACAGTTAAGCCAAATGAACTGCAGTTTGAAGCATTTAAGGCTATATTCAAACCAATTTTTTATTATTAATTTCATTATTAAGTAGATAAAATTATAAAATGAATTATTTATTAATTGTGATATTATCAGATTTGAAGCATTATTCAAGCAGCTTATTAATAATAACTTTTACATTAAAATTTTGCATATAAAAACTTAAAATGTTAGTCTACCTGGATTAGAGGACAGAAAATATTACAAATGTTTTAATTAGAATGAGTGAACAATATTTTTACAGGTTGTGGACTTTGCAAGTTATAAAGATAGCATGAATTTAAATTTTTAAATTTTAATATCATTTTGGGAAATATTAGAAAGAAATCATTAGAGATTATCCAACTTAGTGGATTAGACAGTTGCAAGAAATTAATTAAAGTTCTTAGAGTATAAGCTGTGAGTCTTGATTGAACTTGCTAACAATTCTTATTAATAGATGTGATAATCATTATAGTCATATTACATCTTGAGGATTTACACCAAGTTTAAGATATTCTTCAATTTATTTAATCATTAATAAAGAAATATAGGAAATATTTATTAATAAAAAAAAATAATTTATACCACATCTCTTATTCATACTAAATTTGTTTTCAAGTGCATCTTTTGTTAGAGATAACAATGAACATTTTTAGCTTCACTCACTCTCTAAACTATTGTTACTGCTTGTTTAATATATGCTTGTTTCTAATCCCTCAAAATCTGTATATGATTTTATCTCTAACTTTTTGTCATTGATCATATTTTGATAATAAAATTATCCTTATTTTGTAATAAATTAATGAAATACACTCAAAAATATGTTAAAAAGAAGATATATAAGCAATCTGTCACATACATGATGCAAAATAGATATTTCATGAAGTCATCAATAGTTCCTTTCTGGTGAACATATACCAGTTACCTCAACCTCTATGACAATTATGCAAAATTATATTTTAAGAAAGATTTTGAAGAAAAAGTACATATTATACATAATACCAGAAGAAAAATACATCTGCAAATGACTGAATTTGTACAAAGGTTGTTTTCCAGTGGTGTATGTGAGATAATATATAAAGTACAAACTTAAAGTGCTTTGAGCTGTCTATCTTATTATCTGCAATAATTTCTTTATAACAACTGATTCCAAACATAAACATTTTGAGAAAATACATCAGATTAAAAAAAATACATTTTTACCAGAGTCTTAAAGGATATTAGTAGTTTGATTAAAATGTAATCCTGTTGTATCTTTGATTTCTTAATTCAAGTTGGGCTCTTAAAAATACAGACCCCAAGATGTTTAAGAAATATATGAAATAAATAAAAACTTAATATATCTTGATGAAGCACTTGTAATTATTGATTTTAAGAATTATAAAAATAAAATAGTTTCTTTGCTATGACGGGTGTTGATTTATTTCCAAATTCCAGGCAGTCCTGCTGAGAAAGCTGGTATCAGGATGGGCCACATTCTTGTTTCTGTGAATAGTGTAAATGTTTTGGAGTCATCTCACGAGGAAATTATTAGACTCATTCAACAATGTAAGTACCTGCTATTTATATTTCATTTCTTCATGCTATGATTTGTAAATTTACATATTTGAATCTGTTTCAGATATACTCAGTTGACATATTGGCAGTTGATATATTAAGAGACTCTTGCATCCATTATTTTATGAAGACTTGCTTTCACCTGTTCCATGTTAATTTGGTGCCATAATGTCTGTACCTTAAGGTTTTGCTGCCTTTTGATCCTATTATATCAGATTCGTCAATGTCTGCTTTAATGTCACCTTCAAACATTCCATAGGTATGTTGTCATTGATCCATACCTTTTCAAGTATTCAGAAATATAATCATTTTCTTAATAAAAAATAAACAAGGAAATAAACAAACAAAACTTAATTTCAAGTTTTTCACTTTGAAGATAAAAATCAATATATTTTCCATTTTACATTCTTTCAAAACAAGATAAAAATATTATGCACTGAATATTATATCTGGTTGTTTTTTGTTTAGTTATTAAACAATGAAAGTTAGAAATGTAGCTCATTTTTACTCTTAAAAATCATTATTTTAGCCTTAAAAAACAGGTTATTCTTGTAAATGACCTACTGGAATTGATTGTGTTTGCAAATGAGGGGCCGAGTGTATTATCTTTTATCAATCCCATCAGCATCTTTTCATCTTCTGAATTATTTTTTCCCAAGTGTAATTATGCCATTTGATAATGAATGTTTTACAAAAATCTAAGTTAAATCACATCATCTAGAATTGATTCAAATCTTAAGGTACTATAAATCTCTTTAAAAGATTGGAGAAAATAATTTCATTACAGTCCATCTATCTTTCCAAAACCTATGACTATGAACTCATTATTTGCATTGTTCATGTTGTTACTACTACATTTTTGCCAATCAAATCTACAGCCTTCTTCAAGTTGTAATACCATCAGTAACAGAAGGTATGGGTTCAATTGTTTGAACAATCTGTGACTGTTAATGACTCTTTTCCAAGTTATAGATAATATATGAATAACTATAGTATTCAGAGGAAATACATGCAGATACAAAGCTAACTTCTAAACAGGTTTAATGATTGAATTGTTTCATGCAAGTAAAAATTATGCCAAACTTTTTTATCCATAAATTGAGGGTAAAAATATCACTCAGAAATGAGACAAAATTTTAAACTTCTTTTAAATATTATGCAGGGTTGGAAAAAATCTAAGTATTCTGAAGTTTATTATTTTCTTATCATTAGGCCATAAAGTTTTCTATTTATATTAAGATTGTAAGCTGCTTTTATTTATCTGTATATTTTTACTGCCAATTTATATATCAATAAGGTTTATGATTTTTTGAGTTTGGATATGCCAGCATTCAATCTAGCATTTAAAAAATATTTTTTCTTTATCAAGCTGGATGAAATAATTACACAACTGGAATTTTTCATTTTTACTTATCTTTTTGGATACATTGATCTATTTCTGATGGTGACAAATTTGTATATACTTAACACAATCTAAATCTAATATAATGGTCTGTTAATCAAGTCCCATGTATTAAACTCACCAGCAAATAACCTCTATTCATATTTAGCAAAATGAGAGTGAAACTGTTAGTTACTATCAAACCCAACAGTTTAAAGTATATAATTTTAAACTATGAAAGTCTAGGTGAGCACATTATTCCAGATCAAGAGGTTAAGAATATTTTAGACTTCTCTGAATTGTACATAAAACTCTCTTCTTGAATAGTTGATAAAACATGAAATAACATTGAGCGTTTTACACTTCCAATTTCAACTTGTATTTGTAAAGTCTGTTCTAGTGTAAATATTTATTTGGTTTCTGCTGGCGTAAAGCAATAAATAATACATTAGATCTATTTTTTAGGTCTTCACTGAATTTACTGACATTACCTCAAATGGAAAGGAGTTGTGTTGTTCAAAATTGAAAATTTCAATAAACAGTTATTTTTATTCTCCCTGTTATTGATATGTAGTAACATCTGTGGACATAGCATAGTGATTAAGCATTAGACTCAAGTTATCAAGGTCCATGATAACATATAATTATTAAAGAAAAAGAAAATTTCTAATCTAAATCAAGATTTTTAAAAGGGTTTTTCTTGGAATATTCAATGTGGTTTTGTGCAGTACTAATTTTCTGCCTTTCTTTTTTAAACATTTTAGATATTTTTTTTTTGTTGTTTTTAATCAGTTGCTGGTCAATTCTGTTTATAATCCACTCTACTGGCTATGTCATGTTGTCCTAGTGCCTTCTTTCTTACTCACTGGTTTTCATCTTAGTAATTTCAATGCCTTGTCAATTCCAGCCTTTCTTTATTGTGGAAAATTAATGTCTGTCACTATAAGCTCATTCTGAAGACAATGTTTTCTTTTTTCTCTCTCTTTTGTATGACAGACATAAGGTATACAAATGAAAAAAAAATGAAACTAAAGAATTGAAAACCTGCCACTGTTAGGCATAGTGAGTCATCAAGATGGCAATAGGTCAACGTTACAGTCTGGATTATAAGTAAAATTGACCAACACTAGACAAAATAATTATACCCAGATAAGGCCACAGAATAGGCCATTTGAAATATTGTGGAAAAATAAAAGATAGATACTGTAATAAAAAAAAACTTCTATGAAAATCTCAGGCACAAACTTTTATTTGCAGCTATTTTTGCATAAGTGAAAATCCTCTTCATCCACATGTTAGTAATTATCTGTTAAATAATCTCTATCTCTTAGCTATTTCTACTCAATATGAAAAGAAGCTCTGCTATTCATCCATGGAATATATTGCTTTGGAAATGATATTCTCGGCCTCACAGTTTCTTGTATGATGCTCTACCAAGAAAGCAAGTCCCTCATGCATTAATTCTTCACTAGTCATGCTTGATTTGATTAAAAAGAAAACCTGTATCAAAAGAAACCAAATAATTTCTTTTAAAGAATGTGTTTTGTACTTCTGAAGGAGTTGTATAATTTTAAAAATAATTGGGGATCTTTAAAAGAGACTTAACAGTGCTTGGATTCTGAATTAGTTTCCAAGGCTACAGCAGCCTTGTTAGATTTCAAGCACCCTCTCTACAAGGAAAATCAATCACTTTCTCCTCTCCAATTACATAATAAAACAACTTGATTCACAAGGTCTTGATGAGTAGTCAAGATTTCCTGCTTTGATATTTCAAATATGTTTTCTATGTAGGGTGAATGGAAAAAAGAAAAAATGTTTTCAAAAAATATACAATTGCCCAAAAATGATTTTAATGATTAATTAATTGCACCAGCAATTGCGTTTCTTTTGCAAATCCATTTAAAAAAAAAAATCAAAGATGGATTTCAATGTGTCTATGTATTGAACAGAACTCAATATTTTTTTCTGATTGCATAATATTTTATTGATAGATTTATAAATCAATAATGACTTTAGTAAGAATTGAAATTTCAGTATGACTGACTTGTCCACTTTATTACAAAGTGCTTCCTATTAAATTCTGCTGTTATTTTTCTTAACTATTTTTGTAACTATTTTCTCTGCTTCAGTTTTCAAAGCATCAATGCAATTAGTATCATTTACTTTTTGAAGATTTCAATTAAAATGTCCTTTTACATGTCTTTTTCAAAATGTTTTTAAAATAAGTTTTTAATTGCTCAGTTTCATATCTGAATGATCCTTTCAGCCAAACACAGGATTTTCTTTCTCTGCAAACAGAGAATATGTATTGATTATCTATTTGATTCTTCTTTGGTTAATGAGATGAAAGAGTGAAAAATAAATTTGACCTTGGTATTTGATGCTATTTTTTTTATACTTGCATTGATGATGTTTAAAATCAATCTGCTTCTTCAGATATAAAATGTTTTAATATGGGACTGCTATATTATGGATTAACAAAAATATAAAAACAGTCTGTTTCATAAAGAAATACAACAGAGGAAAATAACCAAAGTTTTACAGTAAATTTCACAACTTCTTCACTAAAATTTGTTTTAAATTGCTTCTTCAAAAATTGTCTTTACATTATTCATAGTAAGTTTTTGAATTAAAAACACTAGTAAAAATTTTATCCCTAATATTTATGACAAGAATATTATATATTACTAGTAGTTTATGTAATCCATCTAATGTACAAGTAGATTTACAGCTTGGAGTGAAAAATTAACAAGCCAAGTTTGAATTCATTACATTCACCTTTGAACAAATACTCTTGGTAAAGGTATGGATACATCATCTCCTAAGCTATAGGTTAAATAGCCATCGTTGGTAGTCGAGAAGAAAGAACTGAGGTAAAAGAAAAAACAACTTATGTAGCCCTGGAAAAGCACATTCTATACAGCCATAGTATTATAGAATTCATAATGACTGTGGTGAATGAGGTAGGCATGTAATTGATGATATCATAGGTAGGATTTATTCAACAGATATTTCAAAACTTTCATTCATTTTAATAATTATGTCTATATAGACACAAGAAATTCTGCCATAGAAAGAAAATCAGACAATAATTACTGACTGCTTTTGAAACTGGTTTATGCAGGCAACCAGTTTCAAATGCAGTCAGTGATTATTATTTGATTCAATATTAGCAGCCACAATTCTAATGTAAGATATGCATATGACACAGTGTTAATACCAGACATAGAAAGTAAACTACAAAAACTCTTACAAAAGATAATGAAGGAAAGCAAGAAGAAAGGACTGAACATCAACTGCAAGAAGACAGTGCATGGTTGTTAGTAAAAGGAACATGCAAATTACAAATTGGAGATACCAAAACAACTACAACAATTTAAATAACTGAGAAGTGTTTTAACAGAAAATGAAAAGTGAGACACTGAAATCTGAAGGTGCATTGGAATAGTGAAAGTTGCCATCCAAAAGCTAAGTAAAGTATTATGAGACAGTATTATTGGAAACAGAAAAGAGTACTGAATTTTTATCTAATATCAGGCCTAATATATGATAGTGAATGCTAGATAATCTTCTCAATGAACAGACTTGAAGGAACAGAAATAGGATTTTATAGAAAGATGCTGAGAATATCATGGACCGAACATCTGAGTAACGACAAAGTTCCAGAGACAATGGAAACAAAAACATCAGAGAGGGATAGTTAAAATTTCTAGGGCACATAATGAGGAAAGAGGGCTTGGAAAATTTGATGCTCATAGGGCAGAGGAAGACAACACATAACCTACTTGGTGAACATGATTAAATGGATGGTGGAGCAGGTTTTGGGAGAAATAGCAAAAAGGGAAAATTTCTTAAGAGATCCAAAGAACAGGAAATTGTGGAGAGCCATGATAGCCAATATCCTGAAAAAGAATAGCACATAAAAGAAGATATGTAGAAAAGGTTTTAATTTTTCTTTTCACAGTCCACTGACCTTAAAACTACTTCTTGCTTACTTAGCTTTAGTCATTTTCTGGCTATGAACTAATGCATGAATTATTAACAGAATAGGCTTAGTATATGGATAAAATATATTTTGTAATATAAAATTTTTTGCAATAGAATCAATCTGTATTTCTGTTTGTTGCATACAAGACTTTCACATTTAATTATTTACTAAGTGTATTTTTCAGTGTTCCAACATTGCTAACAAATGTGACACAAGGTAATGATTTAAAGAGGGTTTAACATCAATACTGTGGAAAAATTGCTCAAGTGCTTTCGGCACTTCCTCTTTTGCAGATGCTTCAGACACTGAGTATTGACCCCAGCCCCCTCCCAAAGGAGGAGTACTGCATGGAGGGGGGTACCCCACTGGGGCTTGAACTTAATATTATTTTGAAACTACCCTATCAAAGCCAGATTATTTAGTATGCTAAGCACTTGTAGGTCACTTAATGAAGAGCAAACTCATTATAGAAGTAATAATTTGTTAACTATTTCTACATGACATATTGTACTTTTAGATACCAATTCAATAAAGTAAAACATCTCTTTATAGGTTTCTACCAGTGCAATTATTGTATATGTGATGGAATCTCCTATCAATTTTAATGTATGAGGGCTCAACTTTTTAGTTTTTAGAACTGAACTGCTGGCCAATTCACCAGATCATTTTGATTATAGTTATGAAGGCTTGTGTAGAACCAATCAACCCTTTCAGAAGAACTGATAACAATGAAATGGTGCACATTGTGCCACAAAATCCCCAAACAGCCCTCAATAAGTTTGAATTTAGAATTTTCCTTTTCCAAACTGGCTACCACCTAAGACAAGAGAGTTTAGTATGCTCTGCTATTTAACCTATAGCTGGAGAAAGATGGATCTATGTCTTTTCTAAAGGAATTAGCAAGAAATGAACATAACAGAATTGACTTGAATTTGAACTCAGCTCAGCATTTTCCATGCTGGTAAACATAACACTACCTACACATTCCCAATGGCACTAATTTCTCAGTAACAAATAAATGAATTCCTGACTGTTCACAAGCTTCATGTTATTCATGGTGAATTACATTCACTTACAATTATTATGGTGAATTACATTCACTTTGCACCAAGAGGAACCCTCCTGAAAAGTGAACTAGTACAAATTATTCTGTAAGGTGTAAGGGGTCCTGAGTGGGGAAATCTAATAAACCCTATCTGCTCTCACAAAATAGGCATATGGCCAAATAGTTAGAATGTTAATATTCTGACCATGATGCTCAGGTTTGAACCTCACCATGGTTAATGATATTGAACCTAGGGAGGTGATCCTAGCATGCAGCACTATTGAGAAGTGCTTGAAAACCATACCACATGTTGTCCCAGTTATGTGAGGGAAATTCTGTAGATGAAGCTGTTCAGAAGCCATCAGTGGTTGGGCTTGCTTGAAGTAGCAAGACATCATGAGTTTGAGTGTACTGACCTTTTTTCAGTAATGATCATGCCAGAACTCTCTCACAGAAAGTGTAACTAAGTGACACACTACATAGTTGCAGCATAAGCCACAGTTGAAGAAACACATGTCTGAGCAGGTGTCTGTAATAGGGATTAGCTCTTGACCCTAGAAGATCAATATATTTGGTAATGAGTAGTCAGCCATATTGTATTACTCTCATGATATACCTCTTAATATTTTGTGTAAGTTTTCTAGCAGAAAATAAAAAGTATTAAATGAACAATTTTTTGATCTATGAATATTAACATCCACTATATCTTCTTCAATGCTAAATGTATAATGATAATTTTGATATCTACACTTAGTTCTTGTGCATGCTTTAAAATCTTTTTATATTACTATTTGGAGTGTACTGAAAAGTTCTCAGCCTGACCAAAAATGAATTTAAAAAAATTCTGCTATTTGATCAGATTTTGGAAAGTTTGTTGGACTGAGAACTTTTCAGCAGCCCCTTTTATATGCAATCATTAGAGTAAATGTAAGTTTTTACATATTTAATCAACCATGTTATCATGGGTTACATAAATAACTAGTAATATATAATAGCAAAAAAATGTCCTTATATTGCTGTGAACAAACAACAAAAGATAGAAACTTTTAAGTTACACTCTTTTGCTTTTTAAATATTGATTATCTTTGAGTACAAAGTTATTTTCATCCTTCTTTTTTAATGGTAAATAAATTATACACTTTTGGAATTTTCTTAACTTCTTTCCATGTGGTAAACTCTAGGAGAAAACTTATATATTGACACTATTAAATAAACTTACAGCTATCATTCTGCAAAAAAAAGAGAGAGAAATAATTTCTTCACTTCAAAAGTCTGAAATAAAAACTTCAATTGAACAAAAAATACAACTTTACAGTTACTGCATTTAAACTTTAAAAGAAAAACAACTTGAATTTTTTTTTTTTTTTTTTAGCCAAAAACAGCGTCTCCCTGTCTGTTGGCTTAAGTAATGTCTGCTACAGTCGTGATCTTGAAGCCCCGGTAATGACTGGCTACATGCTAAAACTAGGAAACAGCCATCTGCCTCTACTAAAGAGGGCAGCTTGGAGGAAAAGATGGTTTGTCCTCAGAAAGGACAACTGCATGTATTATTACAAATCAGAAAAGGTAAGTAGATTCTGCTTCTTTTAAATTTATATTAACTTAAATCCTATCAGAATGGAAAATTTTTTTTAAAAATTCAGAATTAATTGAATTGATAGCAAAAAATTGATAAAAAATTCAGTGCTGCATTAACATGAACACATAAAAGACTTTAATCTATGTATCAACAGATTCGTATAAAATTACCTACTTACATACAGAATGCTTAATAATTCCTACACTTCCATAAAATACAATTACTATAATGTTACATGTTATCTTTTTCTCCAGAGATCATTAATAGTCCTTTCTGTCTGTATGACTATAATATATTTCGTCTACTCACTGGAAAACTGGAAGATAATAAGTAAACATCTAATCCTGTTCTCATCCTGGATGAACAGACTTTATGCTATTCAATGTTGCTAAATAAGGATCAACATAAATTTTACAAATTATTGAAATACACTTACTACTTCTTTCATGTGCCATATCCATTCAGGACATAGGCGATCATGACCCTTCAAAACTTCCTGTTTCTTGTAGCTCTTAATAAGTTTTGACTTTTTGTTATTTCTTCCAAACCCTGTTCTACCATCCATCTGCTCAAGTACATCAAGTATCTTATGCACTGCTTTCCTCTGTCCCTCTTTCACCACAATCTCTCCTGTGAGTATCAGATTTTCCAAGCCCTCCTTCTTCATTACATGACCCAAAAATTTCACCTGCCTTTTCTTGATGTTATGTATGTTTCCTTTTTGTCTCCATTCTCCCCAAAACCTTGTTACTCACATGTTCAGCTTATGGTATCCTCAGCATCTTTCTGTAGAACCACATTTCTGCTGCTTCAAGTCTCATCCTCATCTTTGAGATTTGCCCAGCATTTGCTACCATACAGGAGAACAGTGGGGGTTCTTGACTTGTCGAAAAACTGAAATTCTACTCTATGGCATCAAATGACATATTCTAACCATAATTCTTTATATTTAGTCAAAAGATTCCACCAAGTAAATACACCTGACCTTAAATGTATGTACCCTGTGACTTTTGAAGCTATTTTTATTTTTATGTTTTAATTTTAATTATTTTTTATTCTTTCCAATATCTTCTTCTTCAACTATCCTATTTCATGTTGTAATCATTGTTTTAACGTGTATATACATATGTGTATGTGTATGTATACATCCTCATTGATAATATGCATATTAATGTAATGTTAATTGTTGGGGTCATAGAATTTAATGAATGTTTTTTGATGGACACTGACCAGGAATATGTGACACAGTTAAAAAGAGTGGGAATTCTGCTTTTTGCTTTTTACGTTTGTAAAAAAAAATTGAAAACCAAAAAAAAAAAAAAAAAAATTTGGAAAGAGAAGAAACTCCATGCTAGCTTATTCCACCACCATCTTAGTGGAAGTGGGGGTTCTTGACCTGGTGAGAAACTGAAATTCGACTATGTGGCATCAAATGGCATATTCTGGCCATAACTCTCTATATCTGGTCAAAAGTATGGTCAATTATAAGATTTTTTTTTTCTGCAGCAAATGCATAATAAATGTTAAGATTCAACAGTATGTAATATATATGGCAAGGGTATGAGTGTTTTTCACTAAATTTTTTAAATTTTATATGTATACATAATTTTTTAAAACATTAAAATATGAGGTTTTTCTCTTGTATTATTAAAATAATTGGATGCACAGCACAGGTGGTATGATAGATATCAGTTCAGATAAAGAAATCATTGAGCCAAGTTCAAATTTCAGTTAACTTCATTACATTCAATTATACACAAATACCCTTGGGAAAGGTATGAATCTATATATTGTCCCCCACCTATGGGTTAAATAATAAAACAGACTAGGCTCTTCAGCCTTGTTTGCCAGTAAGTCTAGGAGGATGACATCTCCGATTTCAAAACCAAATGTAGCCCTGGCAAAGTACATATTATGCAGCTAAGGAAATCATTGTGGAGTTCCCAGTGACTATGATCTCAAATACATTGACTGACTCATTACTTTTTGTTCATTTCTCAAATGGCTAAGATGCATTATCAAATTTTATCAGATCTAACAAATATTTTCTTTTAACGCTTTTAGAGCCAAATTACTGAAGCTACTTTAGTGCAAAACTTCATTAAAATTTCCCTTAAGTCTTAGATGATTTAATGCAATTTTGATTCCTAGTATATTACTTTCCTCAATCTTCTATGTTTTATTCTTCTCATTGTAATTCCACAATTTTCAAAATACTTTCTATTCAAGAACAACCATAAAAGAATTAAAACGGTTCTAAATCATAATTTATTTTCTCAATATTTATAATTGAATTTCAGTAATAAGACAATAAACACCAACCACAATACCAGATAAATAGCCACAAACAAGAGAGAAATATTAACCAGTTATTTAAAAAAAATGAACAATGTGGATATCAACATATTTTTTTTTTCAAACTCTCTAGCCTAAAACTTGTACAATGAAATTTTAAAGTTTCTCTGCACTTATCCAGCTAGAATCACTAGGTTGATATTTTAAAAAGACAAGGTTTGCAAATTTTTCCAAATTTTACAAGACAATGTGCCTTTAAAAAATTATTTTTCTTCATACCTATCAAATAATTCAATTATTTGATTTAAAGATGTTGACTAGAATTTCATGAATTGAACTATCAAGCTCAGATTGTCTATTGTTGTCTGTTACTCAACATGATACTTTTTCTCAAAAATTTCCCAAACTTAAGAAATATTTCTTCACCCAGTTATAAGTAACAGTTGACTTAAATGAAGTGCCATCATGCTTCTTTAGAAATTTTCTCAGCCTTACTTATGCATTTGCAGTAGCTGATTTTTTTTAGATTTTTGCTATCTGAAAACTTTAATTTATAATATTTTTATTGCCATGTGAACAAAACACTGTACCTACCAAATAAAGAAAGATTTAGCTTAGAATGAAACCGTGTGTATTTTTTGGACAAATGCTCTGAGTCATAAAAATGAAAACTGTTGTTTGAGAGAATATTGGTAAAACTTCTTTAAAAATATCATCTGACATCACATTATACTATGTTGTACTTTTGAATTTTTAATATTTTTATTCAAAAAAGAAAATTTTTTAAAATAATTTGTAAGGATTTTAGGAAACAAATATTAAAAAGAAAACACACAAGTTTTCAGAGTAGAAAATATGAAAGAAATTCCTGATCATTTACAAGAGTCTCTTTTAAAAATGTCAAATAGATTTTATTTCACCAAGAATGAAAGTGGAATACTAGATCTTGTAACCTTTCTTCTAAGGATGGATTGGTTTAGAAGATGGCATTTAGAATCTGTTCTTTTGACTTTCAAAATTTCTTTTTTACTCTCATCACTAAAATACATTTTTGTGCCCATTTATTTTTTAAAACTTATTTCTATATCTAGATTCAGACATGCTGACATCTTAGCAGCATTCTTATTAATAATTCCTTGGCAGATTGGTTGCTCTATCAGTGGGTTTGTTTCCCCCTGCTGATTACTTTATTACAGTTTTCTTTCTTTTATGCATGAATATATATATATATATATATATATATATATATATATATATATATATAAAGAGAAAGAAACACACTCAGACATTAAAACATAAATATGGAAAAACTATTTTTACCTTGTAACCTTTAGTCAATATATATTTCCCAATTAGCAACACACACATATTTATGTGAAAACTTGAGAGTTGGCTGAGATTGAGTCCAACTCGGTTTCTTACTGATTCTGAATTGAGCTAGTGAAAATTGTTAAGAGAGATTTTCAGTCATATCGAACTGCACCCAAAGGTACCATTCACCAACCATTGTGTGTGTGTGCAAATACAAATCCAGTACATGTGTCCTTACATAGAATTGCTGCTTGCTTTCCTTGGCAGCCATATTCTTGCTGGTACTGCTTGATTTGTAATCACTGAAGTTTCAGTGCCTTCTGCTGTAAGTACATACTTTTCTGCTGACTCAATTCATTTTGTGTATTCTGTCTATAATTAAAAAAATCTACAAAAAAGTTTACTTAACTGTCATTTATACACAATAGTTCCACTTATTGGAAAAGAGATGTTGAAATGGCTCAAGAAGAATAAGGAAGAGAAAACAGTGTATGAGTCTGCTTATATTTACAAATGTAGTGTATCAGTAACAAATCTTTCTTGGTAGACTAATTATTTGGTAATATTTGATAAATAATAAACATTAATAAGATTTATTGAACAAATTGATATTGAAGCATAAAATGCAATAAAAATTAACTGGGCCTAAAAGGAAGATATTCTCAGATGGAAGGGAGTGTTAGTCATTCCAATTCTAAAATGACAGAAATTGGTAAACACTTTTTGGTAAGCATTATAAATCAAAGTACTTGTTATTTTATTTAGAGTTATTTTGATGTATATACCTCTTGGATAATTAAAGTCAAATATGTAATAGCATTCAAAACCATTTTCACTTTTCTCTAGGTGTGGAAATGATTTAAAACTATAAATGGTCTGTCTGAATTTCTGGGATAAGGAATTATCATTATTTACATTCAGACTATTTCTTTCATTTTTGTTGTTGTTGTTGCTATCACATTTCCACTGTTGTACCCTACAGCCTTTTTCAGGTGTTTCTTGATCTGGGCTACTTAAAGAGAATTTTGAACAGAACCCTATTTAGAATGTAGATTGTTCTCATTCCTCTGTCTAAGTCTTATTTAGAAATACTCAGTTATTTCAATAACTAAGCAATAGTAAATAAGAACAAGATGAGACCTGGTCAGTAGAAGTAAATAAGAACAAGATGAGACCTGGATAGTAGAACAAGCATAATCTACCCCATAGATTAAATGAATGATTCAGTTTGAAATTCCCTGAAGGTAACCTGGATAAACAAATATCTAAAGAAGGCCAAAGGGCACAATGGCCAAAAGCTTGTGATAATAAAACCAAAGATGAGGACAAATATAAATAATATTAATAATCTCTGTCTATATTTCTGAGATTAGGTATTGTA